TGAACGGTATAATATGGCCCAGCCCTATTCCTTAGGAAGCTCAGTGGGCTGCTATGGGTCAGACAGTGTGAGCAACAAAAAGACAGCCTCAGGAAATATCCAGCCAAAGACAAGGATTTGCTCACTGAATGATTGCTTGGATATAAAAAGTTGTAGCCAATTATGTGACTATGTGAATCCTTAGAAGGCCCAAAACTTCACTATTGATGTAGGTATTTGGGACAGCCTTCATTTTTTAATACCTTAAACCTATAGCTTCTAGATACATAAGCAACATTTGTGGCACTGCAGTCGCTCCTCTCTCATAATCAGCATTTTACCTCATGGATCTTAAACTTGGAACTACACCATTCTCCAAAGTATAAAACTGTAAAAGCACCTGCTCATCTGCCCAAACAAGAGTACCAATCAACCTTCCATGTGAACATTTTTCAAAGCTTTAAAACTGACTTGTCTTTTCCAAACTGCAAAATAATTCCCTGTTTCTGGGATTTAAAAAAAAACAAACAAATATCTTATTGTATCTCACATTAAAACAAGTGCAAATTTACTCATCGGCTACTTTAAAGGCAATAGTTAGTGTCATCATTTGCTCTATTATTATATCTGTCCTTGTTGTGTTGTAATTGTGCTTTTAGCAAAAAACCCAAAACAACAACAACATGTTTTAAATACACAAAGACATTGCCTTCATTTTCTGTGGCTTACAACTCAGCCTCAAACATCAATCAGAGCCCAAGTAATTGTGCTACTTTTACATTACTCATCATTAGGAGAAACTGATTTTCATTACCTTTGTTGGGCCTACTTTTGCTCTGGACTGTGCAATCTATTTCAGTTGTGGCGGCTGTATTCCTCAGGACTCCAGTGTGAAGTTTGTGAAGTGATGTAGAAGAGGGGGTTCTGATATTTTGGGCAATATTTGGCTTCCTATTATCAGTATTTTTCCTAGACTACTCTGCACTGCTGAGCAAATAAGATTAGAGGCCTACAGACACACAGTGTAAACTGCACATTCTCTGCGAAACATCGAGCACAGGAGTGGAGAGAGAAAGAGTACACTAGCTCACATGAAAGTGCAGATAAAAGAGCCAATTAAATTAAAACTTTTCGTTTTTGTTTTATGTTTTTCTGCACTTTATTTTTTAATCTATTTTAAGTTTGGTTGGAGAGTTTGCAAACTTATTGAAGGCTACAATCAGCCTATTTCTTATAGACACATTTTAACAGGCAGGGGACCATTGTGTAGCACAATAGAGTTAAAAAACAAACAAAAAACAGACAACCCCCCCCCAAAAAAATAAAAAAATTAAAATTAAAAAAGAAAATCGTAAAAAAGTAATGCTTGTACATTTTGAGGATAATCCCTGCTTGGAACAACTAATTTTCCATGCAGTGGAATAGACAGCAGAGCTAAACAGTGACCTTCTCTCCATACTGTACTGATCATGCTGTGAGCACTTGTTCCTGTGCAGAAGAGGATATTTAATAGCAGACAAGTGGTTGGAAATGCCGAATCATAGTTGAGTATGAGCTTGTACTCATAATATACAAGGACATGGCGTTCTACAGAAACATCACAAGATGTGCTTGACAAAGAACACCTGCAATTTACTAAAACTATTCCTAATTCCCAAACCTTTGTCACCATGACGACCACAAAGTTCTTCTCGTCGATTTTGTATTCTTTGAGCGGTGAGTCATCGCTGAGGATTTTTCCTGTAACACAAAAAAAAAAAAAAAAGTCAAAACTTCAGGGCATTCCCTCCCTTAACCTCAACAACAGATACTATCAAACTATATCAGTAAACAGATGAATCATCTGAATTTATCACCACAACTTGTTCTTCATGATATGATTTGCTACACGGCTTTTGTTTTGTACTTTATGTATGTCGGAGAATTTTTTAGCAGGTCAAGCAAAACCCTGGGGTCTAAATGGCAATACAGTATTGTTATATAGACAAAGCTTCTAAAGTACAATGAGCCCCCGATGGTTTTCAAAAAACACAAAAGCTCAGCTGTGTCACTTAAGTTTGAGGGAGACAAAAATCTATATTTTTAATCCAGCTTTTCCCTCTATTGCACTTTTTGAAATATAGACACTAGCAAAAATTATTTAAACAAAGGAAAATTAGCATTTGTGGTGACTTCAATTACAACAGATTCCCTGAATATACTTGATTAAGGACTCAGTCACATAGCCCTAGAGCCTAGTCAGCCCAACAAAGGGTTGGCCAGTAACCCTGGAAACCCTTTGAAGGCTAGGAAAAAAAAAAAAAACATGTATTCATTCACTGGTTGATGAGCGGTTGTTGGAGGTTGCTGACTGCACCCTCATTATTCTTTTGTTTGCTAGCCGACTATCATGGTCGCCAAAAGCTTACATGGAAGATACCAAGTTGTCCGCAAACACTCGATTGTGCAACGCAAGTTAGAAACAGAACATTCACCTTCAAAGTAAAAGCAGTGCTTTATTGCAACTCCAACGTGTTTCAAAAGACACAACCTTTAGTTTGAAGGTGAATGTTTTGTTTACAGTTCGCACAGCTTCTTTAACACACAGCTTGTACATCAAGTGTATTTGCAGACAAGTTGTTGTCTTCCATATTAACTACAAGCAAACGCAGCAGTCTGCTAAGACATGACTGATGTAAAGACCAGGTTACAGATGTGTTCACACACACTGGAGATGTGTGAGTTAATCATATTATAGTATTTACAAGCCCATTTGAAGGTTGTCTAGAGGACTTGATTTCACATGAGTAGTTGCCTGGGGGTCTACGTATAGCGGAAGTACAGGCCCTCTACGACTCAATTCAAAATGCCAACATTGATGCTAAGGGCAATTTCCCTCCACGAGTTGTTGCACGTGTGACCGTCTTTGCATTATTTCAAAGGGGAATTGTACAGATGTGGGTACCATGGATGGATAAATTGGTTCTTTACCAAAATGGATAAATTTACTGTTCATTCTGCCCTGGTCCATTTAGCCCTTGCGATGCTGTGATTGCCCAACTGTTTTTAATGATTTGCTCATCATGGTTTAAAAGCATAGATACAAAAAGCAACAAAAATTGGGACAACTTCAGTCAGTTCAACGGCTCTGCAATGGTCGTCTTTCATTGAACTGTAAACCTAAAAAAAGCCCTAGCCTACAACTCAAAAATACAAATAAAAAAAATCAGCTCCTGCATATATAGCAACACTACTGAGACCTTATAACAGCTGTCAACCTCTTCGATAATCTGATCAGGGTCTTTTAACAGTTCCCCGCCCTCATTTTAAATCTCAAGGTGATCATACTTTTGAGGCTGTAGCTCCTAAATTCTGGACCAGTGTAGTTTAAACGACTGTTAGTGTTTTCTTAAATGTTCACTCATGTTTCATTATGCGTTTATTGGAGTTGTGTGTATGTAGGACTGAATGTAAGCCAATGTTGGCATGTTTGACGCTTTTCTTTAATGTGTGATTTTATCCAAACTTTGAAGCACTTTGTAACTGTGTGCTTAAAAAGGGCTAAAAGAATAAAGTAATTTTTAAAAAATTAATATTTCCTTGAAGAAAGAAAGAAGTTAAGATACAAGAGCATATAACATACCAGCATAAATCAGTTTCTGTCCGGCAACTGAAAAGATTTCCTTCCCCTTTTCCTGCTCAATCCTCTCTTTCAATGTCCTCACCTGTGAAATAAACATATGCACTTTTACTTCATATTTTCATCCCTTACCAACAAAACCATTAAGATGTTTTACTGGCACCATTTTGTCCAGCCCTGCAACGCTAACAGGAGTAAAAGTCCAAAGTGTGACCCAACTGTGTCAGCTGTGTCATCGGTGATTATGCAAAACCATACATTTAAAAGCAGTGCAACTATAATCTGGCGACTAATATGCATACAAGCACGTCGAAAGTAAAAGTAAAGTGTCTGCACTAAAGTTAATTATATTATAATGAGATGTAATGAGATGTGCTGTAGCCAGCCGGCCTTCAGTAGCCGACGGTTAAAGCTAACGCTAGCTCAAAGATTTATATCTTTGCCCAAAGACAAAAGGGAGTTTATACAAGCTTAATAACAAGTACAACATGTTTTAATTACTTTAAATAACGCTACTTTCTCTAAATGGCACAAATGTTTTCTTGTTTTACCTTAACCCAAATGTTCCAATTACAATAAGTTTTACAAGCTAACATAAAAAGACTGAGAAACACTAAAATGGTAAGGTTCAAGCTAACCTGTCAACCCCACCCCGCCCCCCGTAACACTCACATTTGGAGCCTTAAGTGGGCTACGGCTAAATGCTGAAAACAAAAACAATTTCCTGATTGGTTTTTAAAAATAATGCGCATCTGCATTAAGCCGAACTTCTAATGCACGTCAGACGCATCCAAAAAGAATCTTACGTTATAACCCAGACTTGCCTATAAAACGCCAAAACTGGAAATGGTCGAAACAAATCATGTCGATTTCAGGACATACTCAACTCCCATTCCACTCCCCTGTCACAAAATGCATGGTTATTAACTCTCACCGTCTCCTCTTCATCGATGTCGATTTTGAAAGTCTGCTGCTGTAAGGTCTTCAAAGTTATTAGCATTTTGTCGGTGGGGTTTTATTATTCCTGCGTCCGGTTTAAACGCTTTAAATCCAACTTGCACGAGTCTTTACTGTTTTCGTTAAATCATCGTAAACTGTCAGCCGCCATGACGTATCGCTTTTCTTCTTCTATGTTAAATACTTGACGGACAGCGCTCCTGCTGGATTGCTTCGGTACTGCAGTAAACTGAGCATTGGCCACAATGCTCAGGTGTGCTCGTTGATGAGTTTTCCAACACGCTTGATTCCAATGAAGTATTACAATGCAGAAACACTGCGAGCTGATTAACTGAAGGCACACAAGTATAATCGGCAAAATGACGCAGAAAAACTTAAGTAAGCCAAGAGTCTTGTGGATTATAATTTCAATAACATGCAAAAATATATTTTATAAGCTGATGTTTTATGGCTATTTATAATACCTGCAAATCCAGCATTAACTGGAGATGAATGTGAATTAACAGAAAACAGAAATTCTCCAGTACAGTTAAGCACATTACTTAAGAACATTTTTACTGCTCATCATTCATTTTGTTTCATGTGATGCATAAGGGCATACACATAAAAAGCTACTCCCCCAGCTACTAGTCCCCAGGTGAGCTTGCAAACTTTCCTTTCTTTTATACTCATTTATTTGTATTACAGTACAGGGTAAGGTACTGCGCAAAAGTCCAGAGTCACCTGTCATTAGTTTATATTTTGCTTCAAAAGAGCCAGACTTTCTTGTACTTTTTCAAAGTGGTCTTGAGCAGGTCTTGGCTTTCTGAAGGTCATTTAAAGTTTTTCTTTGGACAATGGCTGCTTTTTCACTCATGTTCAGTCCTTTTACGTGACCATTTTCAGGGAAATGTTTGCTTGTTTGTTTCTTGAACCACTTAACTTACGTATGACTCACTAACCACAATAAAACACCTAACTCGAGCGATGAACACAGTGTCTTTCTACACATAACAGACATCTTGGCAAATTATATTAAATTGTATCTTTAGGCACTTTATTACTAGCAGCCTGTCACAAAAGCACATCATTTGTTCCCATTTCTTTAGTTGAATCTACAAAAAATGCCAAAGATAACAGTTTGAAAGGCATGAAATAATATTTCTGTACCAATGAGATGAGTCCCAAAGATCTATGAGCTGAAAACTTGGCATATCTCAGCATGCTGTGCACTGTGTCCTTAAAGATTTTGATGAAACTAGACAAGTGGAGGAAGAAAAAACAAACATACCCCCACCCCACCCTAAGAAATAGGAAGTAAAAATCATAGGTCTGACACAGGTCTGATAGCTGTTGATCCATCTACTGCTCACTGAAGCCTCATCAGGAAAGAGGGAGAAAAGACTGGACCGAACTGAAAATCAGCTGCAACAGAATATAGGAGAGAGTATCTACAACCATCTGTCAAAATTGATGAATTGAATGTGAACACAGATAAGCACCACCAGATTTTGATCCACTGTGGAATACCATCTGGAAAGCATTCATTCAGCAGGCTTCATTTTTCAGCATGACTATGATCAAAGAAGAGCTTTGAGTGTCCTTCAAGAAGCCGGGAGAGCGATTCCTGAAGGCTACTTCAAGAAAGCCTGCCTAAGTTCTGGCTTTGTTGAAGAAAAAGGCAGTCATACCAAATATTGACTTTCAAGGTTTTATTTTACAAACTCAGTTTTCGTCTCATATACTTTACTGCTGGTTATGTCTGCATATGTTTCAATAAATTGCTGCATTTATTTCCCATTTTCCTTGTAAAATATGAATGTAAATGAGGGATCGTTCAATAGACACAAAAACAATTTTCAGTGCAATAGTGTTAACAGCTCTTTTTTCATGGTATGCATTTTGCCTTGTCAACACAGGACAAACACATGAAATTAAAATAGTAACAAACTAAGTAACCAAGTAAGCCATTATAACAAGTCAAAAAGGCCTATATCTTCAATTTAATCCTTCAAAGGTCATTGTAGCCTGTTGCATACACTCTTATTCTACAGTACTAACCTCTTCAAATTAGATGCAAATTGTTTTCAAAGCAGGGACAGCATCATCCGAGCAGATGCGAAGGCTTGCAGTATGTAACCACTGACATGCAATGCATTACTTGAATGTTTTTGCTGCTTGTTCATTACATTTGTCTCAAGACTGACGTTTTAGGAAAAACTCTCTCTCCTTAGTAAACATGAGCTGGCAGTTTATTCCGTTATCAACCTTTCAGCAATCCCAGGTCCTTCTGGCATGCATAGAGGAATTTCAATATCACCCATCCAGCACTCAGCATTCAGAGGTTTTATTGGCTTCTATCGTCCAGCTGCCCAGCCCTGACTTTAAACAGGACTGTTGAGTGCAAAGATGATATGCTGGAGGCCGATGGGGTCTCTTCCCCAGGTCATTTCGCCCTTATTCTTATATCGCTCCCTCTTACCTGCAATGACTGTTTGTATGACTCTGTCTGTCCTTATCTACCACTCCTCTCAACTGCCTTTGTCCTTCTGCCTTCCTTGTATCCTGCCTTCCCCTCCTCGTTCTCTCCACTCAATCCTCTCCCTCTATCATCCAGTTATTACGACGGGGGCAGTGCCCTCGCCTGCCTTGGCCCGAGCGCTCATCAGGCATTCCTTATGTTGCTTCACTCAGCAGCGGCCGCACAAGAAGCAATAGTGTCCTCCTTTCCCCTCTCCCACTGTGGCTGTGACTCTTGCTCCTGTCTCCAGGGGTCGTCAGTCTGCCGTCAGCCCCCCTCTGAAGTGAAGAGCCACAGAGATTACAGTCTGATCCCTGGTGACTTCAAGATATTTTTAAGAGATGATGTTAGACATGTGAAATCAAGACGTTGCAGGCAGGAGAGGAAATGCGGCAAAATAAAGGCTTTCTGGAGGAAGACAGCGATAATGGAGTAGTCAGAGTGGTGCCTCTTGGTCCAGCGTAATGGTGAGAAAATGAGGAGCTCGTGGAACATGAAAGCGTAGCTAAATGTACCTTTGGTGTCGGTGACTTGTGACATCCAGAGCTGCAGCATTTCATGCATGTGCAATAAACAGACACAAGGACTCACACAAGTACACAACAGACACAACTGGTATTTGCAGGGATCTGTGGTTTTGGTCAGCGGAGCTGTTGCAGGGTGTGGAGTGGTGTAGAGACACAGAGAGAGAGAGAGAGAAGGGTGGAAGGGTGGAACACAGACTGAAGGCCACTGAGATGCCTTCTCAGCCCAAAGCTATTTCCTGTGAAAAAGGTGTAGGCACTGTTATTGGCTGGTACTGGGGCTGTGTAGATGTGTTACACTGGAAATCCAAAACATTGCTGAGTACATTGCTCTAAAGTTAAGTGCCAACCATTAAAGTTTTACAAAGTACAGAATATAACTGGAATCATAATTCACCAGATGTGTGAACAAAGAATCCAAACACAGTCTTCCATCTGAGCAAGTGAAATGTCTACTGCTGGTGGTTTCCGGATCTGGTTGGTGGCTGGTACCGTCAGATAAAGCCAACACGCAGTGTAAGCTAAAATGCACACAGTGATGATGCTGACATAGCCACTGCATTTTTTAAACAATCTTCACTATTTCAGTGCAGCATGTACTGTAGTTGTGCCAAGTTTTGCTAATTATCCCTAAGCACATAGCCGGGGCTGATGGCAGCATGCAGCCTATTACAATAAATCCTGTGCAAAAAATAAAATGAGGAGGAAAAGAATGCTCTGACTAGATCAGCAACACCAAAAAGGGCTGGAAAAGCACAGGAGACAAGTGAAGTGGGATGATCGCAGAATTCTTTCTTTGGTTAACTAAAAAGACTTCATGAAACCAAGATGGACATGCCCTTGAATGATGGGAAGAGGAAAAGTATGGAGGAAGAGTGAAATGCTTATGATCCAAAGCATATTACATTATCTGTCAAACATGTTGGAGGCAATATTGTGGCATAGGCACTCTGGCAGCCAACAAAAGTGGGTCACTCGTGTTTACTAATGATGTGAAAGCTGATAGAAACAGCAAGATGAACTCTGAAGTGTACAGGGCTAGGCTCTGCTAGGTTCAAATGAATGCTGCAAAACTGATCAGACAACACTTCACAGTGTAAGCGAAGGATGACCCAAGGCAAGCTGCAAAAGCAACCCGAGAGTTTCCCAAGGCAAAGAAATGGGATATTCTTCAATGGCTGAGTCAGTCACCTGATCTCAACCCAACAGAGCAGCTTTTTAGTTTCTGGAGACAACGATTGCAGGATGTCCCACATACAAGCAGCAACTTCAGGGATTTTGGTGTCCATAGGTTCTAGAATTCAGGCAGGTTGAGAATCCTTAGACTGCAAAGGATTCTCAACCAAGTAATAAATATTCAGATTGTTTTTGGAGCTTTTTGTTTTTTTCCAATTACTTTTGAGCATCTGAAAATGGGGGACTGTATAAATGATAATAACAGTTAATGAAAAACCTTCGTAAAACCTTCCCATGAATTAAAGCTGAAGGTCTGCACTTCAGTCACTTTAACACCTTTAAATCAAAATAGTTGAAGGAGACTGTATTAGGGAAACAAAATTTTCTTTGTAGTTCCTTTGGATTCCCTATTGTCCATTTGCATACTTACTTTAAACTTTAATAAAGAAAGCACAATTCTCTGATTTAAATAGCTCCAAAAAACATTATCAAACATATCAAGTCAAATGTACAAAACTAATAAAGTTGTTTTTAGTTCAAGTTTCACAGCTCTGTATTTTAACTAAACCTTTGTGCTAAGCAAGGAAAATTGGAAAAAATAGAAAAAAACCCAACAATTAACTGTTATCTGATAACTTTATTATCAAGTTAAAAAAAGACAATGAATTACAATATTTACAGAATATCCAGAGATAAATGGAATAAAATTGTAAACAATCATTCTAGGCAACATCACAACCCACCATCAGGTAATCAGATTTATATGGGGAAAGGCAAGAAGGAGAGATTCTAGTGTCAAACTATGGAGACAACAGTCTGAAAGGAGAAATGCATTGGAAACAAACTAAACATATATACAAGTATCCAGTGTGTTGTCAGCAGGGGCGTAACTTTGGGTAAACTGGGAACATTACAGTCTAGAGACTGCACACAGTGAGGGATTCATAGTCCTTCTCTATTAAAATGATCACAGAACAACAAACAATTTTGGGTCGACAGCTTCATCACCCACATTGTCCCAGATTATCATCTGGTTTAACCCTGGGATTTCAAGCTGGGTAACAAGCTGCCTTACAAAGCTTATTTCTACAACAACTATTTTCAAAGAGTTTTGCTTTCAAGAAAAAAAGGATACAAGCTGGTTCAGTAAAACAGAAAAAAAGGGCTTTGAGATTCAGCACCAACTCAACTGGTTTGAGGGTATTAGAAGGACCGGGGAGTCCGACTCTCAGAGTGCCACCTACTGTTGAGTGGGTAGACGATGGACAGGTACACTTGGAGAACATGAGCTGGTGCCCCTACTTGCCATGGACAGAAGATAACGGTGTGTCAGATTTGGGCTTGGACAAGAATAAGCTAAATCTTAGAGCAGGTCAAGAGGCTCACTAGGAACTGAAATCCAGATGTTGATGATGGTCAAGCCCAGAAATAGAACAGTTTAGGTAAATGCTCCCAAAGCAAACTATTCTTTACTTGTCTCTTCCTCAACAGTAAAAGCCCTGGCCATCAATCAGTAGAGAATTGCATTAATTTCCTTTATGTTTACTATTGTACAACCACACTGTGCTTCCTATCTGCTCATTCCCATTACGATACAAAATATGGATGCATTTCCATTGGAACCAGACATTGCACAACAGGATAATAATGTTGGATTGGGGACTCAAAGCCCCCCAAGGGTTAGCTATGATCTTTAGATTTATTTTTTTCCCTTTAAAATAAAAAAAAATAAAAAAAATAAAAAAAGAGTCAACACTTAAAGAAAAAAAAAGGGTTAAGTTATCCTTTCTGAAACACCACAGTTCAAAACACTTAACGAGTAGTTTTGTTGTCTATACATGGCTGCAAACATGTACTTCGTCCAAGTTCAACCCATAGAACAAGTCTATGGTTCAAACCCAGATTTGCCATTTCCATCAACAGTTCAATGCTTATGAAAGCCGATTCCAGCAGCAAACACATCAGGCGTGGTAAATATTTTGGTACCAAGAACACATTGCTTTATTACGTGTTCCTCTTAACATTGGAGTTATTAGCCATTCTTTTTTCCCCTCTCCAGACTGTTTAATTGTTCTTGCTGGTCTTATTGGAGTTGGATGCAAATTTGACTTCATTGCTATTCACTTCTCATAAGGCTTAAGGGCATTCAAGCAGCAGCTTCCAACAAATACAATCTCTGCCTTTTGTCAATATTAACAATTATATAACAGCTTTGTCTAACAAGAAGCACACAAATGCAGACTATGACAGGTGAGTCAAAACAGAAAAAAAAAAATTCCAGAGGTCTTTAAGATCAGGGAATTTGAGACCTTTAAAAACAGTGAATCTTTAACATTGTCTCATATTTTTCCTATAGATTTTTCCTATACACGTAGAAACAAATGTTTTCAGAGCTTCCTGCTCAGGTTACACTTGTCTTTTCATTGTATTTTTTTAAAACTGGGCCGGAGACTATAGCAAAACAGGGCCATTCCCTTAGCCTCAGCCATGTGTTTCTGAAGAGACATTTCAAAGCCTATGTTTGAATGCTCAACGCAAGCACATACAAATACAGTAGAGCAACCTTTCCATAATCTAATCAACAGAGGTGACAGTGAAAGGTCCAGACATTTTTCAAAGAAACAAAGAAGGCTACAAACATACTCAGTTTAGCCCGGGATATCATTTGTGGTGCGAAAACATGAAACAAACACTCAAAAATAATCAAAAGCAGCTTTTCCTTCTATATACACACTATCCTCCTTATCGAACTCTCAATAATGTGAGCATAACTAATTAAATCCCATGTGCTTACAGTGGATCGGGGAGGTCAAAAGAAATAAAATGCATATAGTTGAGTGACTAAAACTATATCTGGCGGATTAGATTAGAATAGGTTTTTTTTGGTAATCTGGTTACGCTAAAAGTCTCAATATCTTTGCGCTACATGATAAATCACATTTTACTTTTCTGGTACTTGCTCTGTGCAATTACAATAAAGATAAATTTAACTCGATCTGATCTGATCTTAATTATTGCCAATAAGGCACACATTGGAATAGATTCATATAGAGCAAATTCTTGCGGAAAAACACACAACTTTAACTTGAAATTTTAGAGGGACGTTTGGTGTATTCCTTATTACTGTTAAAGCAATCAAAAGCCATATAGCGGCCGTAAGGGGAGCTGCATTTTAAGGCACTTGTGCACTGGTTTTGAAACACAGCTGTGGTGGGTTGACACTTGGCATGGTCCGATCCCCCGTGCACAGTGTAATCCAGTGAACCAGACCACTCCAATACGGTTAGAACCTCCTGATCTCGGCGGAGGCGTGGACTCTTACTCCTCCGCAGAGGACGAGGAGAGAGCGGGATTTCAGGCACACCTGATTACACATTTTGCATTGAAAAGACAAGTGTAATCTTTGTCTCTCAGAAAAGTTGCCATTGATCGTAAAACTGGTAGTTGCAATCCAGGCTAATCCTTAACGGACACAGGTAAGGTCATGACACATTAAACAAATCACTAGGTCAATCCATGTTAAAGTCACTTCCACCTCACAATCAGCCTTTTTTGGTATAATAACTTCAGTATATTCAATGAAGCAATGCAAAATCGTGGTGAATGACAAATGGAGTGGTACTTATACATTGCTTTTCTTTTTTACCTTCATGCTATGGAAATCAATTTAAGTAATAATGATAACTTTATTCTTCTGTAAAGATCCTTCTGTCCCTTACAGGTTATGGGGGTTCAAAAAGGCTAGAATATGAAATAGAAAGTGGCAATAGCAACCATCGTGTACTTGGGGAGGCTGTAACTCGGAAGAATTTCAAAGTATGAAGGTAAAATGTTCCACGGTTTCATTTAATATTCTAAAATTATTGGACCAAAAAAAACAATAAATCAGCTGGCTGTGGAGAGACGTTGTGGGATCTGCTGAGGGCAAAGGAAAACCCGGACTACACTCAACATAATATCTTACAGGAGATTAAAGCCGATCCCATTATTTCTATGATTTTCACAGTGAATTTCTGGACAATAAAAACCCCCCCCCAAAAAAACAAAAGGAGTAGAAGTAAAATGCAAAGGGTGCCACAGGCCAAAGATTTATACATAGTATAATACTAAAGGGACCAAAAATTATAGCAATTCCGATCAAACGTTGGGGCAATTTGCAGAGGGAGAGAACAAGATTTGTGATTTTACTCAAATACATAAGGTGCCACTATTTCTCCAAAAATACTTCCACACACTTCACTAAAAAACAACAACAAAAAAACCTCTGAAATTTTGATAAAATATAAGAAAAGCTTGGTCTACAGTGGGTCACAGCTGTAAATGCTTTCATGCCTTTTTGTTTTAGGTAAAATTTCAGTACCACTGTGTTGAATCAGCAGGGGAGGAGTGTGAAAGGTGCTTCAAATAATAAAATGCTAAAATTTAGTTTCTCGTTTTGGACAACATTCTCTATAAATAGTGGAGTTTATCTAGGTGGGAACTTTTACTGTGGATTTGACCAGAATGTCAGCAATAAAGAGTTCTGTTCACTATTGGTTACCAATATATTAAAATCTGTCCTAGGGGACCGCCCATTTAAAGAGCTTAGCCGTTTTATGCAGCACAACCTAATACTTATATATGTAACATCTAAAATCTAATAATGCACCAACTCATAAAAACTCTTTTTTTTTTTTTTTTTTTAATGTTTCGACCTTTTGTTTCCTTTGACATCTTATTTTCTGATCCCACTACTCGGCGCTGATCCTACCCAATCTTATCACTTTCTAGCACAGCATCTCAAGAGGCCACAATCGCTTCAGCCGAACTGTTGATCCTTTTTGGTGTCAAGCTTTTCTTTGTCTTCCACATACTGGCTTTGACTTGCCAAAGATAGATCAGTGGGGTTCCCGTCCTCTTTTCTGTTGCTGGACAGGTCCAGTCTTGTGTCTGCAAACACAGAGGAGCCGGTGGAAGATGAAGCTGAGGCCTCTATTGCTGAAGTGGTGCTGGTGTCCAGTCGACTGTTGTTAACCATCCTAAAGCCAGAGGAACAATGCACAGAAAGACATCAATGAGTGTGTGAGTTTGCAAAAAATACAGCAATTAAACAAAGTGGTGTGCACCGACAATGACACTAGCAGCAAAAGTGGTAACATATCTCAGTTACACTACAGTCATATTATGGAAAACACTAGTTTGTGACTGTGGCACAACCAAAATTATTGCGACTGTTTGCAAGGAACTTTGAAATGACTCAAAAGACAAGGCCCCCCGTTTGTGACCACTTGCAGTCAGTTGTTGTATTTATAACAATTTTAGTGCATCTAGGTGGTGGTAAACATTCAGACTCCAGCAGGTTTCAGTCGTTATGCAAAAGTACTGTTTGTAAGTTTGGAGAAACTTGCAGTCAACTGAGACTGAAGATGTCACTTGGATAAGTAATGAAAATTTTCTCCCACTGAAAACACTCTATATGAACAGAATTGGCTTCTTGCATTTAGTTACATTCAGACTTTAGCCAGATCCTCAGATTTAATTCAGATATAGCTTCACAAATAGTGACATAGTTGCTGCAAGAAAGCAATTTAACTGCAGACTGAAATAGGCACTAAGCAACTTTTGTCATACAGTATATGAATATTGGCAAACAGTTCATGAGTTGAATTCTGTGCAGATGAACTCAGATTGATTGCAATTTGTAGGCAATATTTCTGCATTTATAAGTTAGATGGCAATTATTTGCAAACAAGACAGGTTGCCTCCCATCCCATCGGTGGAACTGCCTTGAAATCGAAAGTCAGTCTCCACAAACGCATGCAACTGCTCTCCAAGAACAAAAACAATTCAAAGCAATTGCTGGGCAGCTACAGATGTAAGATGAAGAGCTCCAGCAGAACACAGGCAGCAATTTGCTGAGACAGGTTTGGGTTGACCTTAAGTAACATTAACGCTTGAATGCAAACATCTTTGAAAAGGATGCACCTGGTGCTTTACCAAAGTCACGTTTCTCCACAGCTGCACACCAAAGACAAAATCTGGAAAAACCTCATTTTCATCAATTCATGTCAACAAACATCTTAACTCTCGAATGATTTGTCAACTTTTTCCTTAGGTTTTGTATCAGCACAACCTTTCATCAGTTGAACTGAATGCAGATTTTTTTTTGTACATAAATGACAGCAGAGAAATGGCTAAAAAGGGCCACAGAGGGCATTTAAAAGTAGACTGGAAGAGCTGACTGGGTAGGGAAAGTATGCAGGCTCACACACAAAGAGACAGTTACGAAGAAGAGAGAGAGGAAAAAAAAAATAGACGTACATGCCATGTCGAAGGACATGTCGTTCCCATTCGAGGCTGTTTGTGAAGCAGCGGCCGCAGAACTCGCATGGAATACGCTTCTCTGCACTGCTTGGCCCAGAGCTGTTGCTGCTGCTGTTGCTGATGGGAGATGCAAGGACTTCTGGGAAATAGAGTTTCAGAATACAGCAAATTCACACATGTTTAAAAACAAGCCTCCACATCCCCATACCTACAGATTGATCAGATTTTTTTTCCATACTTAATGTACTTTTTGCAGACATACCAATATAGTTAAGTACAGCAAAATAGAAGCTAAAATGATAAAATAAGAAAATCAGCTCAGAATGACAATCTGGTTTCTGAAAGCTGGACTACAAATAAAGAACATAAACATGAATAATTGACAAAGAGATAAATGTTATGGAATTGAGATAAAATCATACTTCCAGAATATTGTTGCATGTCCTACTTATGGGCATATTTACTGAGATCAAAGAGCGACACAGGAGATAATGTATAGCAAAAACATAGGTCAGCTATACTTCACATAATCCCTTGCACTGTGGTCCCCAGTAATCTTCGTCAAAGAGTCTATTCTGCTTTTATAGTCTAGTTTGTTTGTTTTTTAAAGTCATAATATAGAGTTTTGGATTTGACAGGCCAGTCGTAAAATAACAGTTTTTTGGATATGACGTTACCTTGAGGGGCAGGCTTCCCTTCCCCCACTTCCTGGACTTCGTCTTCGTCCTCCTCATCCTCCACCTCTTCTACTTCTTCCACCTCATCGTCTTCGTCTTTGACGTTTTCCTCCATCTCTTCATCGTCCATCTCTGTCTGGCCCTCCACCATGTTCTCAATGATTTCCATTCCCACATCATTATCGTCATTCTCCTCCTCCGCTTCCTCCTCTTCCTCCTCCAGAGCCACTTTTCCATCTGACACCATCTCCATAGTTTCTCTCTCCTCCTCCTCCTCCTCCTCCTCCTCCTCAGCACTGCTGCCTTGATCCTTTATCATGTCCAGCTGGTCCAGGTTGACCCGGCCCATCAGTTCAAAGTTGCGGATTACCTAATCGGACACAGGAGATGTGTGTTTTTCAGGTTAGTGTGGTGTTCGTCAGCCAGGGTTTATTTCAAGGAGCTCCCCCTGCTTGCTCCCCAAAATCAGAGTTGAAACTTTCCAGGCTTTGACAACATCAGAATGTGCATGTTTGGCCTTTTTTGTTTGTTTGATTTTAAGCAGGAAAATGAAAACGCAATGAAAACCTGTTAGAAATTCCAGATCTGGGTTGAGACCACAAAGCTAACTGTTTCTGCTTGGATTTGGTTTTTGATGCAATTTTTCCTCCAGCAGCTATGTTTCTCTGACCTATATTCATTCACTGTAACACAAGTCCACATCCTGCCTGTATGGGATACGACAGTCATGGTGAAAGCGGTATATTTTTAGCACAAGCACAGAAATTCCTGGTATCAGTCAAAGTGAGTTTTGGTGGTTATTTATAGACCAAAGTGCTCAAACAACTGAAATGTCTGGTTTTTGTAAGACCTTAGCAGGTGAACGCCTGTCTTTTTTTAAACAGTCGTAGCTTTTGCTGAACGCTTTACTTCTCAGTCAAAGTTCCGTCTGATTCGCAAGAATTATGCAAGGAGATTTTTGTATCTCTAGTTGACAAACTCAGATAATCTAAAATAGAACATTTAACAAAGGAAGGAAACTTGTTCCAATATCTCATTCATCTTGTCACCTATTATCTCACACTTTGAGTAATTTCCTCCTCCCATACTCCCTGAAGACACGGAACAGCAACCCTCCAAACCTCAACTCACATCATCCTTTAGCATGAATAAGCTTTAGCCTGCTGCCTCACCCAGGAAGAAACCTGATCTGTCATGCTTCCTTCTAACAGTCTGAAAGTTTTTCAGAACTACCATTAATCTGAAACAGGAAAAAACAAAACAAAGATGATCTGAAATAGCTCTGAATTCATATAAATTAATAGAAAAACTCAAAACTGACTTTTTATATATAGGTTAAACACACAACAACCAGTGAAGAGGCAGGGGAAAAAAGGTCGTACTGACCTCTTCCATTGTAAATAAAACTATCGCAAACGTCAACCCCGAAAACCGTATTTATAGGCGTCTGATAAAAAGAGCATCTCACGGTTTAATCAAAGAGATATGATTATAAATTATATGTGAGAATCATGGCTCTGAAGCAAGCAAATCGTTTTTCAACTAAAAGCTGGGTTTGACTTTATCCCAACAAGCACTGGGTGAAATCTCAGGTAAAGGTTGAAAAAGAACTTAAGAGGGTGCCCTTTAAAGCTCTTTCCACCTACCATCGCACATCATCTCATCCCTATTAAGAGAGAGTAACAGATTAACTCTTTTTCCTCTCCTGGACTGATTTGTAAGAATATATTGAAACTGTAGCAATATGACACCTACACAATGTATCAATGCACTGCCCTTCTTTAGTTTTGTTACACCTTGATAGATAAAGGAAGACTTTGAAATGGAGCCTATTGATAATATGAGAGCATCTACATATTTTTATTCGAATTGCAGACACTCCAATCCTCTAGTTTATGACCAACTAAGGTTTCATGTAAAAATAAATGAATAAAATCGCAGGTGTAACAAATGTCAGCAGAATCACTGAGGCAGTTTTTTTCTACCTTAAAATGAGCAGATTTTAATGTCAAACCCAGAGCAGCCTCTTTACAAATTTTACCCCATGCTGAGCTACTATTTGGAAAAATGTGGCTCTTCTTTTTTTGGTCATTTGATTAGTTATATAAAATTTAAAAAAAATGCTTAGCAGTGAGTTGCCTGCTCTTAATAAGGTTAACCTACAACACCCAAGTAAACAGTAAAGACTTTCCTATTTATTCCCGGTGCAACTTTTCAAATACCACAAATATATGCTAATGGGGACTGATTATTGTTGTTCCAATTTAAATGTGATTTATCATTACATAGTCAGAGGGAGGGAAAAAAAAAAAAAAAAAAGGAGGTATACATCTAGTCTGACTGCCGCGCTCACTGACAGCCTTGAGGTTGTTACTTCTTACCTCTGACGAGGAGGTTATATTTTGTTATTCGCTTGCCTGCGTTCCTGTCATTCTGCCTGTAAACACGATACAGTAGCTCCAACAGTTTTGAATAAATTCTGGTAAAACTGAATGTTAAATATCCATTAAAATCTGGGTTACATACACCGAGGTCAACTTCATTATTGGTTGAAAACTCAGAAAAAGCTTTACGACTCAGAAACTCTGATTCTTACAAGTGTGCTGAGTATTGTCAACGTATAGAAAGTACTATATAAAGATTTAAAACATTGTGTTACATTTGACCTCTGACCTCTCCTTCAAGGTCAAAGGCTTGATCTGAAGGTCAACTTGCTAACAACGTGTCAACAATGCTATATAGAGCTATTTAAACCTGTGTGCAAATATAGGCATAAAGGTAAAGATCTATGGGGATTCTAAATATGACGTAACCTTGACCTCTGACCTCTTCTCGAGGTCAAATCAGGTCAAACTTTCATAAAATGCATTTTTTATTTTTAAAATTGTGCTTATTGCCTTTACTTGTATTGGCAACATTACAAACAAAGGCAATGTATTGGCAATGACACTGGCATTTCATTTGACAATTCCGCCTTTCTTTCAATATGACCCTAAAATACGGTACATATATAGATACCATTTTTAGAAAGAGAAGGAGCTGCCTAGTTGGTTAGAAATATATACTGTAGCATAATATTATGTAATAAGCTCAATTTATTCATGCCCAGTTATTTACAAATCAATACTTATTACCATTACCTACTCCTACACGTGTTTGTGTAATCAAAGTAAACGTCTGTCAAGTTGCCCTTTTCTGATTTTTACTCCACTACAAACGTCTTAACGTACATTTAAAAAGAACAAAGAAAACAGAATGAGTATATAAAAAAATACAACAGTACTCCCTTAAAAGTAAATACTGCCTTGAGCGAGCTGCCTTGGTGGTAGTTTGTGCTCTCGAGAGTGCTTCTTGTTACTTAAAAGTACGTTTGTAAATGTTTTACAAATTACTCGTGCTTTTAAAAAGAAAAAGACAAAGCAATGCAGTATTTTGCTCATTTCCTCCCTTTAGGAGGTACAGTACTTTTATGCAACACTGCCTGGGGTCCAGAAAACTGCCAAAAACTGTGTTCCCCTGAAACACAGTTTTTGGCAGAAAACTGTGTTCCCCTGATCTGTTGCTTTATTGTACTGTAAGTACCATTTCCACTGGATTTTGGTGCGTTAACGTGAAACTCCTTTTCTTGCCAAATAACAATCTGTATTTTAAATGCTTAATGTGTTTTTTTAAACGCTTACATTTTTTAAATGTAATGCTAATATTTAAAAAAAATGAATGTGTGTTTGTGTGTAATGTTTTTATAATACTAGATTTTCCGTCTTTACACATTGAGAGCGAGTAAGACTATTCAGTGTTTCAGTGATGAACATCTCACGTTACACCAAGTGAGAAGAGCAATAATTAAATACAAACATGTTTATTAAGACACTCTTACAGTGAAAAGCAAGACTCGTCTGCCAAACGACACCACGATTCAGAACTACTAGTTTGAATTTACTTGAACACCACACCATTATACGTGAACTCCAACCGACCTTGTGCTCAAGGCGTAGATGGTCCTCTAGCTGGATCCGTCTATTGGTGTCATAATAGCAGAGCTGGCACTGGTAGGGCTTGATCTCAGCGTGCTTTTGCAGGTGCAGCTGCAGGGCCTGGTCACTGGAGCATGTGAAGGTGCATTTGTGACAACGGAAAACCAGGCCCTGAAGGTGACGTGACAGCTTGGAGCGGCTGACCTCCAATGGAGCCACGCGCTCCTCTGGTGGAGTGAGAGAAGAGAGTGACGGGGAGAAAGTAAGGAGGAAATACAGGTAGTGGATGGTAAAAGCTTTCTATCATAAAAAGTACCCGAACACTATAAATGCAGTCGCACTTTCTTTGCTTGCTTTTGTTATCTGTCACTTTAAACGCTTTCATTTACAGAAAGTGATGCTTTAACTATTGAAAAACAAGAAAAACGCTCCACATAACATGTAAAGACCGTTGGTATTGCTTGTGTTACCGTTACTTTTACTGGTGTGTCTTTATTCCTCGTGATAAAAATACATGAAAAACATTCTTGTCAGGAGAAATTTAAATGTTTGCCTTGTCCATCAAGCCGAGCTCAGCTGCAGTTCCGGCAGATCAGCTGACCACAGTGCTAGCCCACATCAGCTGACGGCTCAGATGAGAAACCTCTATGTATCAGATTGGCAAATCTGACATGGGGCGTGTTTATTTAAGCCGCTTTAGCCTGCCTACAATTCGCTGTGGCTGCAACCCACCTCCACACCAGCTCCTTTCATGTTGGGTCTCTCATCAGTGTCATATCTACAGACGCTAACGCCTGCTCTCCCCTGCACGGGGGATCTGTGCTGTCCTACTCCACAGCCGAGGCATACCGCCAAGTATAAATTACAGCAGATGGAAATAACAATCTTCCTTTGACTGTAGTAGTCCTGACTCAAATATCATTTAACCGTCTCCCTCATGTTGAACACTGCAAATGCCAGCACAGGCAGTATGACGCCGACTTTGAATCTAATGGCGTTTGCTGTAAAAGGAATGTTTTGACATTTTAGAAAATGCACTGTTTTTCGGTCTTGCCGGCAGTTATATAAGATGATTGATATCTCTGATGGCTCATGTCTGTTTACTACACAGAAAGAACAAGAGCTAAAGAACAACTCAAGAGCTAGCAAACATTCGCCAAACTGGCCGCAGCGCCGACACCAAAGGTCTTCAGATCTCACCACAACACACGCCTTTCCTTTTGTAGCTGGTTTCACTCCTAAATGGTAAGTGCTAGAAAAAAAACCAATATTCACGCGGACTGACCCTTTGACCCTGAGGTTAATTCTACAACCTGAGCCACAGCATTGAAAACCAGTCTCCCACAGCATGACCCACCAATAAAGTTGACTTGTAAAAAAACAGAAAAACATCCATTTTGAAGGCAGCGTACCTCTGTGCAGAACAATGTGGTCGATCATGTTGCTCTTGCGTTTGGTGTGGTAAAGGCAGAGAGGGCAGCGCAGGTCTTTAGCGAGGTCTTCTGGCATGTTGTTGTAGTGACCCGCCTCTACGTGCATGGTGAAGGTATTCCTGAGGCAGATTAAAAGACAGACAGACCCTGTAAGGTTTTCATATTTGATCCGAGAGTTTTTGTGAATTAAGACGAAAATGAGATTTTTGTTTTCCTGAAAAAGCTGAATACATTGTAGAATATGTTTTTAAGCAGTAAACTGCACAAAAGCGCCAACTGTGGCAAAAAATGATGGAAATTAAAACTCATATATGCAAATATTTAATTTCTTTTAAAAAATAGTCAGAAACTTCAGTAAACACTCCAGTTTCCCAAAAAAAAAAGAATTTTCAGGCAATTATTTGACAGTTCAGACTTTATGAGGTTAAATGAGCACCTGCAAATGTGCCAATACTAAGTGCAACGTGTGGACATCTTTCTACGTTTCTCTGTTAAATTTTGTTTTTCACTTACTTGTAGCAGGTGAAAAAGGAACAGTCTTTGCACTTGAAGAGCTTCTTGCCACCGTGACGGTCCCTGTAGTGACGCCGTAGACTCTGCATGTATCCGGAGCTGAACTCACAGAACTCGCACGTGAGGATATTCTCAGGACGATTGTCGGCCACCGTTGAGCCACCAGGTGTCGAGCTGGAAGACATTTGACTGCGGGAGGCCAGCTGGTAATGACTGAGCTGCTGACGAACATCCACTGGCTCCAGGTATGACGGATCTGAGGGAGAGGCGGAGGCGTTTAGACAACCTCAGGGTCTAATAAAAGGTGACGCAGTGTATGCGGACATGGGGAAAATGTAACGTCTGGCAAGTAAGATCGCTTTTTACACTGATGTTTTATCTTTAGATGTTCTATGTTTTACCATAGGACAGGATTTGTATACAAGGTGGCAAGACTTAATTATTTTCTTCCCTCACCAAGTAACCCCTCCAACCACAACTCATCATCATCATCAGTCACCGACTGACTCCAGCGCACGGTGAAGTTGTCGAGCTGATGAATTTTTTTTGCACAGCAGGGTGAAGTTTAACCTACTTTATCTACTTGGATCAATTGATCTCCCAGTTTTGTTCAGTTTATGTAAGAAGTCTGATTACATTTCATTAACATTTAATTTTTTTTAGAGTAAACATTACACCAGGGAATTTATTATGAGCTCCATAACTAACACTGGGAAAAGCTTCGATTTGCTCTCGACAGACCCTCAGTTATTTGCAGCACAGATTCCACAAATGCTGGAAACTTTCCTTTGAGATTCTCCTCCACGCCGACATGATTGCTTCGCATAATTTCCGCAGATTTGTCAGCTGCATGCTATGAACCACACTTTACGCCACATCCCAAAGGTGTTAGACTCGGATCTGGTGACTGGGGGGGTGTCACCGAGGAGCACGGTTGTGTCATTTTAATGAAACCAGTGTGCAATCTTTTACTTATTTACTTACTATGCTTAAATGTCGCCATTAGAGGGTTAACTGTATCATAAAGGGATGTGTGAGGTCAGCGATGGTCCTCCGATAGGCTGTAGCATTCAAACAATATCCGACTGCCATCGAGGTGCTCAGTAGTGAACTCTAGAGACTGTGTAAAAATCTCATGAGATCAGCAGCTTCGAAAACACTCAAACCACCAAATCAGCCCGTCTGGAACTGACAATTATGCCACTAACACAAGCTTCTAATGTGTATCAGCAAGATTGTGCTACTACACTACTGGAAAATAAGTGTCTGTTTAGATACACATACGAAAAGGTACGTGGTTCTAATAAAGTCTTCAGTAAGTGGATAGAAAGAATACATAACGTTGAATAAAAGGGCCATATATGATCCATGCCTCTGTAAAGAAGAGGTGTTCAGATGTGCTTACACCAAATGTCCCTCACACCCCCGCCGAAGTGTAACTGTGACTGTTGTCATTTTGTACCCTGCCTCTTTCCCTCCTCTATAATATCATCGAGCCGGCTCATATTCTCGTCCTAGTTTGAGCCTCCAACACATCAATAAGTAAACTACAGTGACACTAACAGAGTTCTTCTCCGTGCGAAAAATACCTCATTCAGCACTAAGAGTAGGCGAAAGCAAGCAGGGAATGGGGGAAAAAAAAAACTCAACAACTTTTCTTTGAAACTTTGCTGTTACAAAATTCTTGAGATCCATTTTTTGACTTAGGCAGAGGAGACGGAAGAGCTCTATTAAATTAAACAGCGCCACGCTTGATTAATTCCTGTAATATCTTCTCCGCGATGTGGAGGAGGTATGGAGATGAGACGGAAGATGAAGAGCAGATTCTGTAGTTAGGTGGGGACGTCGCTTCTTAAATTGTTCATTAAAGGCTAAAACTATTTATTGTACTGCATTAGAGATGGAATACCTGTGTGGGAAAGTTAAGGGAAAGGAGGAGAAAACCTTACGATAGCGGCTGCCTACACTAACTGCCAAGCTGTCGGCCTCAAATTGGAAAAGCTAACACGGAAGTCATAAAGGAGTTACCTGCAAGCTAACACACATTGTAAGTACAGCTGAAACCTTTAGAAACTCACTCGCTTTGCAGGTATTTGGTCATAAACTAAAGCACTGAAAAACTTTAACCTAATCCTTTGCTTTATAGAGTTCCTAAAGCTATTAATTATTCATCCTGCGGGGATGATGAGCGTGTATAGCAGTTTAGTAGTCACCGAGATATGGTGTGGATCAAACTAATACGCCTGCTCTGCCATTTTGCTAAAAGCGATGATGAGGCTGGATTTCAAAGACCTTTTGGTTTTATTTTCATAATTCTGCCAGGTACAACTGTTAAGAGGAATTTTCCAAGAAATTCAAGTAAACATTGCCGCTAATAACGGGCGATCAAATGGAAATCTTTTTCAAGACACCCTGCCAACAAGACAAACTCCCTCTGTTTGAATTTCAGACATTCAGCTGAAGGTAGCTAGTTTGGCTCAGTAAAGAGACATTCAATATGTCAGCCCCGCTCTCTCAATGCTTCATTTGTCTTGGTGGGGCACAGCTGACAGTGGTGGATGGTGCATTGAGGAATGCTGCCCCGCTTCAGCTCCAGGGAAGATTCCACAGCTCCAGCAGCAAGGTGACAGCTGCTGCCAAGAACAGTCTGCAAGCTAAAGCAGCCGCTGCAAAGCCACTATAACACCTCAAACATGGGATTACATCAAGGGGTTTACTTCTACACCAGCCTAGAGTCACGGCGCGTCCCCGTCTGAACATATTCTGTGGAAAAACAGTGTCTTACGTAGTCAAATCTAAACAGCCACAGTACTACATTAAAGCATTTCTCCAACACGAATGCATGACTCACGAATACCAGACTCACTTCTACAGATGGCTATGCTTGTTAGGCATCCCCGCTTAATTTTATTAACACTATTCCCCCTCAATGTGACGGCACTTTCCTGCCTGCATATCCAAGCATACATTGAGAATGTCTGATACTTCGGGGATGGGAGGATCGTGACATTCAAGTGACTGAAATGTGTGTTTCGACAGAAGTGATTGGGCGTGAGAGGTTGTTTCCCAATGATACCCCATATAGACACCTGAGATTACCCTGGCAACCAGTTATACAGTTAAATGCATACACCCTCAGTGACAGCTACTTCATGCTGACTCCTATTTGACTATAAAAAAAAAAACATTACACATGAGCTCCTGCAGTTTTCTATATAACTTCTTTGCAGTGAATTTCATTAAATGTAAGATTCAAAGCTGGAAAATGCTGTAGTCGACTGTGGTGAGCCAGGAGCATGCTGCTTACCAGCACCTATAAATCTCACTAGATAAAATATTATAATTTGTTCCTTTTACCCAGAGACAAACCGAAGAAAACAATGCTTAATGAAGATTACGCATGATCTCATACCATCAGGTGCTAGGGGAGTCTGTTCTGGATTAGTGGCCGGTCGGGGGGGCCTGAGGGTGGCATGCGCAGCCTGGTTGGCTGCTCGGAGTTTGGGAAGGGTCAAGACTTCACCGTGGTCTCTCAGAGAGTGCTCCTTCAGCTGGCTGATGGTCATAGAAGTGAAGGGGCAGGACAAGCACTTGTATGTGTGCTGCTCACCTGGAAGAATATTGAGGATCATGAGGCGTTGGACTTGATTTTTACATCAACACAGAAGTATTATACATACCAGGCTTGCAAAGACCTGCACATGGTTCTAGATAGCTAATTAGGGAGCATTTGTTAATGAAAGCGGTGATGATAAACACATCCCCGACCACAAACAAAGCCCTTTGAGGAAATCTGGAGCAAATGTAATAACCTATTGGCAACAGGGCTCCTCCTGCGTTACAGCGTTTATTAAAGCTTCTTAAACTTCAAGCAAAAATGCTGAAGCTGGTCCCATATTTTAGACTTAGAAGAAATTTGATTTGATTGCTATTTGAAAGTTTGAATTTGCACCTGAACGAAGAGCTCATAAAAACTGTAATCCTTGGTTCATTAAAAAGCGTTCAGCGCAGGTTAGTGAGCCACACAAAAAGAGTACTTCATAAAATACAAAAGGTTACAATGAGGTTATCACAGCTTATCTCTCATTTACAAATTGAAGCCCAATACAGTGACCCATTTTATTATTTTATGCTCTATTATAGCATCTAACTGCACACTGGTGCACGCTTTACTTTATAATTTTTGGTTTTGATGTTCTGAATGTTCCCATGGGGATTTCCAGCCTTGTACTTCCTGCTTCTGTTAAATGTATTTGCTTAACATCTTAAAAGGAAGCAGCATCCTGATCCAAATCTAACTCTAACACTGGCTTGCCACACACAGCACTGAACTATTTCTAGTAAGAATATCTTCAATATAAATTCCTGGTAGCTTCAATACAAAAGCAATGTGAATGGAAACATTCAATGCTGATTGTTTTCACAATTCCACTTATTGAATGTAACTAAACATTGGTTTGCCTCAAAGATCTAGAGCGGGGACGTCAGACTTTGATCTTAACCAGTGAACCTGCTCTTTCTGTCAGTGTAAAGAGGTTTAACTACACTTGCAGCCATAACAAATTAAAGGAATCTTTGGGCTTAAACTGTAAGAAATAAATTGTAAACTATGGACCCACTGTAAAATTTCTGACCTTTACAGATCAGACTGACTTATTACAAACTGAAAAAAAGTTGAAAGTTAAATCAGTATACATCCATCCATTCGCGTCCGCTGGAGCCTATCCCAGCTGTCATAGGGCGAGAGGCGGTGTACACCCTGGACAGGTCGCCAGTCTGTCGCAGGGCTAACACACAGAGACAGACAACCATTCGCACTCACATTCACAGCTATGGGCAATTTGGATTATCCAATTAACCTATCCCCACTAAGTGCATGTGTTTGGACTGTGGGAGGAAGCCGGCGTACCCGGAGAGAACCCACGCAAACACGGGGAGAACATGCAAACTCCACACAGAAAGACCCTGGCCTGATGGTGGAATCAGTATACATTTTTTGATTATTTTGGTGTAGTGTGAATGCATGTGGTGGAGGTCTTTATCATTAGGAAAACCTATAAAAGATATGAAAATACATTTCACATTTTCCAGAGCCTCACAGGATTGGAGTCTTTGCTGGACAGATTCTGGCCCCCGAGCCTTATATTTGACATCCCGGATCTAGCGCATCTTAGCGATTTTTCTTCAAAGCATTATTCAAATCCTCCGTAGGACTAGCTTATCTGCCTCACCAGTTTCAAGGTTGCTTCATTTTGCTTGTGTTTTGATAGCTCAGGTGGAGATTTTCTGCATTTGCATTAACATGAATTCAAATTGCTGTCTGCTGTCTGGCTCCTTCGACAACAAAAATAATCTCATTATGCCACAACGGCCAGTAAACCTTCACTTTTGTAGCATGCTAGGTTCCCCAATAAAGAAAATGTTAATAATAGAATTAAATTAATACATAATATTAAAAATACAAATGCTCACTTGGCCTTTAAGTGTTAAAATAGGAATTCAAACTAAATCCCTGGATTTAGTGAATGGTTAAAATGCTGCTAAGGCTAACCCACTAGTTGAGTTGTGCTCGATAATCACACAGAACATCTTTTTGGAGAAGATAAACAGGAAGTTGGTAGGTATATGGGTCTAGGAATAGCTTGTTAGTCAGAGATACAGCTGTATGTGACAATGTTCTGTGTCTGCTTGTGTTTTTTTTTTTTATTTACCTGTGTGTGCCTTATGCAGGTGGCTCTTCAAGCGGCTCACGTAGGCAGATTTAAAGGGGCAGAGCTTACACCTGAAAGGCTTGTGGTGCCCGTGGTGAGACTGCACATGTCGGTCCAGACTGGCAATGAAACAAAATTTTAAAAAAAGAAGTTAAAAACAACAACAACAGCAAAACACAGAAGGGAGGATATGAGATAAGAGGATAAAATGAGAAAAATGGATGAAATGAGGACAAGAGAAAGAGACGGTGACAAGACGGGAGTACGAGAAAGAAAGAGAAAGCAGCTCTACAGCATCCACTTTGATGATTTCAACAGCGGGGGTTTTTTCCCCTTCTTCTTTTCAGCGGCGTCTAAAGCGCTCGATTCTGTTTACCTCGCAAACAACAGCCACACATTTCCAATGACTACAGAACAAGGAGCCGTGGGGTGAACTCATCTACCCACAATCCCCTGGTGGGAATGAGTGTGTGAGTGCCTGTGGGGACGGTAGCTGTGTTTTTAATGCCAGCCTCCTAGGTGGCATGGGAATGCGGCTTCTTTCTGGGTCAGGGCACATACAGTACAGAGGGATTACACCTGGGAGCTCAGAGGAGATGAGGACTCTCTCTTTCCCCTCTCGCTCTGTGTCTCTGTGATGGATAAAACAAATCATGCTACCAAAAAAAAAAAAAAAATGTCTGCCTCGCTTGTAATGCTTGTCTTTCTCTCCTAGGAGGCAGGAAATCTTGGAGAAGATTGAAGATTCAAAGGGATTGTGATAGGGTAAACAGAATAAGGTGTAAAACTGTGCTCTGTACAAAATGACTTTAACATCTAGTTGATCTAAAGAGCAGCTGGTGTAAAGGCTGGTGAGGCGTTTAGCTTAAATATACACCGCTTACTGGGGCTGCAAAGGGTTCAAACCACTCATCCGTTTTTAACTGTAATTTTTAATAGATTAATGTCTGACTCACTGCCTCCTGCCAAGCGACTGCTAACGCAAACTAAACATTTCCAAGTAATGCTGCTTCACAGTCAGAGCATTCAAATACCACAGGGTGCACAATGTGTATCGCTGAGGTTAACACTGATCGCACTTCCTCAAGGCTGCATCTGCTAATCCAGCCACTTAGCCAAACAGCACTAGCAATAGCCAAATAACAGGAAGAAGCTTCTCAGCAAGAAGTAGCTGCATGTAAGAGCTCCCCATAAAGCTGGACTGACATCTTAAAGAACATGGTCTTTGCATTCATCCTGCTTGCATGGCGATCGTTATGAAACTTCCCCTGCTTAAGGGCTAACATTAAGGCAAATTTTTCTAACGACAAGTGGCCATTATCTGTTTAAATACGTGACAATTTGCTTTTCCAGAACCTAATTCTGAACATCGGACACAGGCTTCGTTTTGGTGGCATGCAAGAGAACGTATTTCTTCTTTTACAGAGGGATTGTGGCATGTTTTTAAAATCGATTCACAGATGTGAAAAACTGATCAAAAGCCAGAAAATTCAAATTTTACACATATTTTGAGATTGTAAATGTTTGATAGTCACAAACTCCTCTACAAAAAAAGAAAAGAAAAAGAAAACACTAAAATTGGAAAGTTTGGTGTATCCATGTCACACTAAAGCACTGATTCCTGGATATAATTTTAATTAATTTTATTTATCTAATATCACTCTAATTCATTTTTTCTTCCTGTCCCTTGTGTTGCAGTAACAAGTAAATTCCCCCACTTAAATAAAGTCTATGTCTTAAAAAATCTGCACCTATGTGTATATAAATGCACATTTGGATTTTCTTTGCACTATTCTAAAAGGAGACAGAAGCAAAACAGCCACTAAATCTTAAAACTTCATCTTAATGAAAATCAAAAAATCTAAAGAACTGGAAAGTGAGGAAAGATAAAATGTTCAAAGGAGAGTCAACAGATAACACAGCAATATGGTGAATATGTGCTTGCCTCAGCCAAAGTGTCAATTTACTGCGCTCTACTCTTTAAAAACAGTACCACAGTACACACAAGGGACAGCACTGTGGAAGCGGTGTTAAAGGTGTCAGTCACAAACCCCGATCCTCCCCACTTACTTGTGTCTGAAGGGCGAGACAAACTGGCAGTACTGGCAGCTGTATTTGTCTTCTTTGCTGAACAGCGCCATGGCTGAGTGGCTCCTCTCATGGGACCTCAGGCCCTGCATGGACATGAAGACTCGATCGCACTGGGCGCACGGGTGACCCCCTGCTGCCAGCCGCTGCTTCAGCTGGCCCTCTGACACTACGGCCCTGGCTGCGGCCACCAAGGCCGCCGCCCTTCCTTCACCAGCGTCCGTCTCAGGATCCAGGTTCTCCACGGTAACAGCGGCATCATCAGAATCTTTGGGCGTGGCTCCGGGTCTCTCCAGGCCGTCGACTTCGGCAGCTTCATCCCCCTCCATGTTGCCATTAGTTAGGCTCTCTGAAGGTAGGATCAGGGGGACCTCGCTGACTTCCTGCTGCAATGCAAAAAGAGGAAAGGTCTCAGATGTTCAGCAACCTCTCAGTTCATGCTGATTTTTATCTGCCAACACCTTTTTTCATGTGGTTGCTGAATGCTGAAATGAAGAGATCGCTTTAATATAAATATCGCTTCAAGTCTAGCACCTACAGTTATTTTTTACTACATTATCTGCATACAGGCGACAGTTAAGCAGCTGCCTTACACTTCTGCTTCCATCCATGCAGTCACTGTCAGTTAGGCCTCAGTTACAGTTTCTCACACTCTGCCTTTGACCCCCCTGTTTTTCTTTCCATCTCTCTGTGTTATCTGAAGATCAGCACTTTGGTTAACTTTAACTCAGACATAAAACTCTTCAGTGTGTTGGTTGAGAGAAACCGCACTTGGCTTATATTTAGCAGAATATGACAGAAAAATTCCAGCCCATCCCCTCGCCTCATGCATCAAGTGTGATAACTGTAACCAACCATAAGCATTTATTCGGGGTGACTAATCGAGACAAATTTTTCTAAAAACAAAGATCTTGCAACCGTGCAGTTCTACCAACAATTACTGAAAGGAACTGGAAAAACATTTCTTTCCCCCCCCTCCCTTCATCTGCCAGAGTGCAGGCTGCTTGCAGCAGTCATCGTGAGCAGGCAGACGATCACCATGACTTTTTTATTGCCTCAAGGAAACTCATTCTTTCTGTGGAAGGACCTGACCCTGCACTTTGTGAATCCATAAATAAGATGTGGCATCCACAGCCCCAGCCTTACCATCCAGTCCCTGAATGCACAGTCAGTCTGCTCTTCACGCTCCCCTCTGAGAAACCAGCGCTGTTCTCGAATTTAACTCCCATCTTTGAACACTATGACCTCGTTACCAAAACGAATACAGTGCTTTTTCACTGGATCACTCTCGTTGGTGGAAAACATGGCGTCTTAGACACATAAAGAGAGACCGAGTGTCTGATGGAAGATCCAGGCCTCCATTTGGGTGAGGCATTGGGTCCTTAGGCCTGTTCCCCTCACTGGCAGCCTCACTGGAATACTAATGTTCGAATGGTTACCCGCCACTGCCCTAAAAGTTATGGCTCACCACTCCAACCCCCCTGCTTCTCTACAGCAATGGGACAGCACTGCTTGTTTTCTCTCGGGGTAGCTGACAGACTGTCTACCCAGAAGCCTCTGTCAGTAATAAACAAAATGGGAAACAGAACCCCAGTCCAGTAAAACAGATCACTGCAGTGCTAGGAGGATGAGAGATGGAAAATAATACAGAAGCACAGGGGACCGGAAAAAAAATGTGCCTTTGAAATATAGTTAGGAGGATATTACACTGATATCACATTAGCACAGTGGAATAAATTACATGTACTGTATATGTGGTCACGATTTATAAAAGGAAAGGTTTAAAAGAGTCATAACATCACAATAAATATGATGCTGCAGATATTTGATGTTTGGCTCATCATCTCTAACCCCTAAAGCACACTAATGCCCTGCTGCCCAATATGAGAACAATAAGAAGAAGGCAAGATATTCTTATATTCTTATAAGAATATATTCTATATTCTTAATAGTAAAATAACTTGTTTAATATATTTGACAAACGACTTACTTCTACTGTTGCCACACATTTTAAATAACGACTTATTTTATATAGGATATGGATAGTGAATATACACTATAGTATTTATTTGACGCAAGAAATATAACTATATATTATAAGCACTTTAAGAAGCTTTAAAAGCAGCTTCTCTTACCTTGACATGCCCCTCTTTGACCTCACCATACTGGACATGCTTCCTAAGGTGGTTGCAGATGGCTCGGAGGGTTGGGTGTATCTCTACACAGAAGTTACACCTGAATCCGATGGGAGTTTTATTTACAGGACTCTCCTGTGCACAGAAAAGGAAAGATTTTCTTTTTTAAATGTCCTATTTAATAATATATAACAAAAATACACACCATTAAAGCACCATAACTACCTAATTTAACATGAGTTGTGTGAATGGTTTCCACAAGCCAACATATCTGCCACAGTCAGACGACGGCATTATTTTAGTCTTGGTTTACAATTTTCACAAGAAAAACTGCAGAATATTACCGTTCTATAATTTAACATGAAGTTAATGTGAAACTAATTGGCAGATCATGAAATCACCCCATCATGCACAGTTAGCAGCTTGCAAATTGGCTCAATGAGCGAAAGATCTCTGGTTCAATCCTGGAAGGAGACACAAAATAGCATCTTCTAAAGGTAGCTTCTTCTACCATTACTTTTACCGTTTACTGCTAATGAAGTGCAGGGGCAAAGCCACCCGTTAGCTTTAGCACAATGCCACAAATGGTTGTTTAAAAAAAAAAAAAAAAAAAATAAAAAACAGGAGGAAGCTTCCATCTTACAAGAAGATGAAGAACACAGGTAGAGCATTGGTATGTGACTCTCATGTAAATCACAGTATGCCATCACACACATTAATGGTAGGTAGAGAATTCTATTACGCCTTAATTCTTTCTTTGATGAGATTTCGGGACGACTATGTTTGCTCACCTTCTCCTGTTTGCTCTCAGGCAGCTCTGTGGCTTTCTGCTTGCTGAGGAGCTGCCTCCTTCTCTCGTGCCTCATCGCCTTTTTCTGAAACTCCTCATTGTGCTTCAGGAGATGTTTAGCAAGAGCGGGGAGATCTAGGAACTTCAGCTCACAGTGAGAACACTGATATAAATCGGGATCCTCGTCCCAGAGACCAGGAGATACCACAAAGTCCCGCTTCAAGTCGTTGCAGTGGTGGTTGTTGTAGTGCATAGAGAGCAGCTCGCCGGTGCTAAAAGACAACCTGAAGCATTTCAGACACTTGAATGGCAGCCAGTCCACATCTCCATCCTGCTCAGGTTCGAGCGGGACCTCTATCACTTCCTTATCGTCCTCTGCTGATGCACTCGCGGCAGTCTTTTCGGGTTCTTTGGCATAAATGACAGTGAAGTAGCGGCCGAGTTTGCTCGAATGCTGCTTCTTAGGGAAGACACCCGGGTGGCGTTTAATGTAGTGTGAGACAATGCTCTTCCTGCTGAAGGCCTGGAAGGGGCAAAGAGAGCACCTCCGTCTCTCCACAGCTAATCGCAAATCTTCGCTCATTTCTGAATTGTCCCCTTCAGTCGGCGGGGGTGCCATCACTTTGTTCACCTTTTCATTCATAGTCTTCGAAGCAGCCAGACAGTGGGTGTAATAAGCATCGATATCATGCCGCTTCTGGTAGTGTGCTGCCAGGCCTTTGCGTATGGGGTTTGTGTATGAGCACAGAGCACATTTAAAGACGTTATTTTTACCCTCCGGCTGAGCACGGACGTTGTTGTGCTTGATACGGTAGTGGCGAGCGATGCCCTTCCTGGTCGAGCAGAAGTATTTGCAGAGCTGACACTTGAACACAGCGTGTTTTTCTGTCTTATTGATGGGTAACTGAGAGAGGGCAAGGTCCAACTCACTGACCTCCTGGACTTTTGCTGCACTTGATATATGACTTGCGCTGCACTCACCTGCTAGCTCTGTTTCTTTACCAGAAGAAAAATGAGTCAGAGAAGGAGAGAACATGTCGGAAGCAGACTGATTGTGATATTTCTCATAATGGATTTTGAGTTTCTCCAGAGTCCCATGTGTATACGGGCACATTTTGCATCTGTACGCGCCGTAGCCCTGCCTTTGAGTTTTGAACTTGTCGTCCCCTTCGTGCAACTCTGTGATTTGCTCTATGTCGTCTGCAAAGTCTTCCGCTGTGACTTTGACCAACGGGTGTCTTTTCTGATAGTGGGTGAGGACTCCATGGATCCGGGAGTTCACATACGGACAGTGGCGACATTTATACACAGAACTGGGGTTGAGGTCTGCCTCCTGTGCAAAATCTGCAGCTTTCACTTTCATGCCAGGGTGCTTCTTTCCATAGTGGGTGAGGAGGCCATGCAGACTGTTGTACTCTGACAGACATACAGTACACTGATAAGGATTGTTAGAGATGGAAAGGCGTGGGTGGTGAGGCTGGGGATTGCTTTCTTGAGGTGGGGTGGCAATAACCAACGGGCCGTCATCTTCAACAGTCTGGCAATTCAGAGGCGTCTGCTCTTTGGAAACCTGCTGTTGGGCTTTTTCAGTTGAGCCGTTTCCTTTGATTATATCCAAAAGCACGGATTCGTCCCCTTTGATAGCCCAGGGGTGGACCGCCTGATAGTGATTGGTAATGTCCCATATTGTGCAAGCCTCAAAGGCACAGTCCCTACACTTGTAATGTTTCGTCTCTGCATTGCCTCCCTGTTGGGTTGTCTCAGGCCCAGCCCACAGCTTGCTGGCCATGTATGTGTAATCAACATTATGCTCAGGGTGGCGTCTTTGGTAATGGAGCAACAGACCCTGGGGTTCAGCATGGGAGTAAATGCACCACTCGCAGTGGTAGCCAGCCTCCAAGATACCATCTTGATAAGCCCAGTGTAAAATTGTCATGGCTGTGGCTTTCACAGTAGGGTGCTCTTTCTTTAGGTGCTTCTTCAGAGCATAGACGTAGGGAGATGTGTAGGAACAGTGCCTGCACTTCAGGGAACGCAGAGGTGTAGTGTTTTCAGGGTCTGGAGGAGCTGGGACAGCGGCAGACGAGGCGACGCTGGACTGAACCATCTGCGCTCGCTCACGTTGACTCCGGACGACTGCAGTGTGGCGGCGCACAAGGTCAGCGTTGGCCTTGGTCTCCCTGTGCTTTTTCTGATAGTGAATAAGCACGCCTTTTACAGTGCGGTTGCCGTAATCACAGTGCTGGCAAAAGAACAGCTCATCCTCGCCTTTCTCACCACTTCCGGGTTTGGGGCTCGAGTTATTAGATCCGTCGTGACCGTTATTTTGAAACTGCTTCATAAACTGCTTGGGTGCTGCAATCTGTAGCTCATCCATGAGCTTCATCAATCCAGGGGTAGGAGCGCCATGTTTGATGTATTTCGCTGTCACTTTCACCTCCGGGTGTCTTTTCTGATAATGGACCAAAACACCAACAACAGATCTGTTGCTGTACACGCAGTGCTTGCAGTAATACATTTCTTCATCTGATCCATAAACTGCTGCACTTGATTGTTTTGGAGTCGAAGACATGCTGGTGTTAAACGAAGAGTTGGCTACAGGCTGTGACTGATCCACTGAGATGACCTTCATGGTTTTCTGTATACGGAAATAAGACGCCTTTTGCTCTGGGTGTTTTTTCTGGTAGTGGACCAGAACAGAGTGCATATTGGGGCTTGCAAAGGAGCACACGTCACAATCGTAGACGACAACATTGCTGCCTTCTTTGAGAGGTTCTGGGTCAGCGCTAGCTTCAGGGGATTTGGAAACCGCTTTCTGCACCGGGCTTGAGGTGGACCTGGGCATCGAAGTGGGAGAGTTAAAATTTTTCGGTCCCGAATTGAGTATTTCCCTCAGAGTCTGTGATTCACTGCTTTTGTGGGACTGCTCTACAATATAGCTGGAAAAGATCATGGCGTTGTTGATTTTCACGGTGGGGTGCATTCTTTGGTAATGGGGCATTAGGCTCCTCACGTTAGGGCTCGTGTACGAACAAAACCGGCACATGTATAAGAGATGGGGCTGGTTGAAGTTGAGCACATTGCTTGCTTCAGGGTGGTGGTCCATGTAGTGTTGGTGCAGATCGTTGTAATTTGTGTATTCGATGTAGCACTCTAAGCAGCGGAAGACTGCACTCTGGTCTTCAGGGTCCAGGATGTACTTAAAACTAAACTTGATGTAAGGGTGCATCCTCTGGTAATGGGTGCTGACGCTACGAGCCGACTTGTTGTGGTAATCACAGTGTTTGCAGTAGAAGCGTGTAATTCCAGGATCCTCTGAATATTCCATGTTCTCTTGGATAGCACTGTCACTGGCATCAGCGGAGATATTTTCACTATCGTCCGAGAGAGTCAGCGATATGGGGATGTTTCTAGGCTTGGACCTAGGGTTGCTTTTTCTTTTCCCTATTCTGCTGCCCTCATTAGAGCTGGCAGAGTCTCTTGCATAAAGCTGCTGTGTGTTGTAAGCAAAGACAGAGTTGTTTTCATTGTTTCTCCCCTCATCAGCGCTGGCATGATTTTCTCCCGCGTCTTCATCATCCATGTCATCCAGATTAATGACGGTGTCCTGCTGGCTTTGGCTTATCTTGCTTTGAAGGTTACTGGCAATTTCATCAATTCTGGTTCTCTTTTTGACTGAGGACAAATCCAAAGGCAAGTCATTAATGGACTTCCTGGCTCTTTTCCCTGTTACTAAGGGCTTTTTGGTGGCAAGCCCTAAAATGGGGGTCTGGGTTTTTTGTAGGAAGATTGGAGAAGCATCTACTTCAGAGTCTGGCTGGTCAGACAGCTGAGCTTCAAAGACAGTGGAGTCGAGGTCATCACAGTAGGAATGCTTATGCTGCTGGTGGACCCTCAGACCTTTCAGGGTGGTGGTGGAGAAGCTGCAGAGGGTGCAGCGGTGAGGGTTCTGCTGGTCATTTGGTGTGCTGGTTGTCTTTTTCCCATTGACTTTAGAACTCACGTTACCCTCATTAACTGGCTCTGCTGCGCTGTCATTCTGAGGTCCTGGGCTATCACCTGTCAGGTCCAAGGTTTCTAAATCTGAAAAATTGTGGCTCTGTTTGTGTGTGCCTAGTTTCAGAGGGCTGGTGCAAATAAATGGGCACTCATCGCATTTGTACACCGTGGCTTTTCCAGAGAGGTGAATATTTTCAATGTGGCGGGAGATGCTCCGCCTGTGCATGGTGAGGAAGGAGCAGAATGGGCACTGAAATCGGTTCATGTACTTTCTGAAGGGAATTCCTTTAGTTTCCAATAATTTATTATCTTCATCTGTTAATAGCTGCTTTGCATCTGCGGACAGGGTTCCAGTGTAGCTGGGATCGTCCATATCACCCAGCTCTTCGTCGTCGTCATCGTCCTCTAAGCTGCTCCTCGAGTCTTCCTCATTGAGTAGGTTGGTGTCCATAGCTATCGCACTGTTGGGGACATCGGATGATGCAAACCTCTTGGATAGGATAGAAGAACCTGTGCTGTTGGGTGTAACTGCACTTATCTGTGCATATTGAAAGGATGAGATCTCTGAGGTGGACTTCTCCCCTGTGTTTTCTGGTGTTTTTGCTACAGACTCCTCCTTTCCGCTAACATTAGCACTGGAAGAGGAGGGAGAATCCGGTTTGGGGGAGCTTGCACTTGCCTGCTCTTCCACCTCCGCAATGCAGGAAACTATCTTGACCTTGTCACTGTGCTCCTTCACCACATGATTGGTCCAGCTGTCCTTCTGGTTGGTCTGATAGTCACACCACTCGCAGGCAAACGTTCCCTTCATGAGCTCAGTAGCAGAGTCCGATTTCTCACCGCTTTCATTGCACTCCGGGGGATCTCCAGCACTATCCGAAGGAACTTTGTTGTGATACATTAGTTGGTGTTTCATTATCCGTGCTTTCCTTGGGGACTTATATGTGCAATACTGACAGGAATACACTTTTGAATGGTCACTGTGCATTATGACAGTGTAGCTGGGCTGCTTTGCAGTCTTTGAGGAGACACTTGCATCCGAATCTGGCTCTATGACATTATGCACCTTTTTGGTGTGGTTTCTTAAGAAAGACTTTGATCTGAAGTAACGGACACAGAACTTGCACTGATAAAACTGCAGATGAGTTTCAGCTGTTGGCTTTTGTGATGTTTGGTTGGGACTGTCAGTAGAGTTGGGGCCTAAAAAGAAAGAAAAAGAAAGAAAAGAGAAAGATTATTAGACACATGCTGGAAAACAGTAAATTATTTTGTTGTAATTTCTTTCCCTTTCTGTTGTTTCTGCTGATAAAGTCCATCCACAACTCTTTACATTACCCAACTTTGTAAAATGTATGATCACCTTACTTTGTAGACTTCTTTATAACAGACACAGACATGATCCTAATCCTCAACAAAACAACAGCAACATCTAAATGAATGTGGTAGGCATACTCATTCCAGATTTAGGAGGCGTATAATCCTTGTCATCTTTATCATCATAGTCCTCTTCTTCCTCCTCGTCTTCATCTTCATCTTTCAGGGAATCAGACTCATCTGCATCTGCAGGCTGCAGAAAAACAGTGTGCACTTCCTGTATGTGAGTCTTCAAGTCGTCGTATGACTCGGCTCGGAAGTCACAGCCATCACATTGCAACACCTCCATTATTAAAACTGGGGAGAACTCCCTGGAAAATCAGGGAAACCTGCAAAACACAAAGAGAGAAAATCATGAGGACACAGAACCTTTTTTAAGAAAAGCCAAAGTAATATAAAACAATTGAGCTGACACTTTCACACGTGAGGTCAGGGCCCGAATTTTGTCAGACTCAGAGAAAGTATATACAGAGAGAGTCCAGTCCTAGACTTCAGGGCTGTCATCACCCTGTTCAGTGCATTAAACATGCTGTTCCATAAAAAATGAGCTCAGTGATGATCTGATATGATTATCAGTGATGATTACTGCTCCGTGAGCAAAGAATAATCAGGTGCAGGAAGGTACACACACCTTCACCAAATAACAACACTGCGAAAAAAAAAAAAAAGAGAGAGAACAGATGCTTATGTGTATCAGCTCAAAAGATATGCTCCAAATGCAAACCCTAATTTCATAGCTTAAAGGACTCAGCCTAATAGAACCTCCTTTCCATTTTCACCTGTTACACTGTGAGGGGAAATGTATTGGATAAAGTGCCGCCTTTGAATGCACCTTTCAGGACTGCTTTGAAATGACCACAATTAAAGGACCAAAATCAATCGAAATGCCACCGAATTATTATTTTTTAAAAAGCAAAAAAACTGCAATAAAACAAGTACAGATAACAGAAAACAAACCCCCAAAAAAACCCAAAGCAACAACAACCCAAAAACCCACAGGAAGCAAAGAAATAAAAAATTAATCTGTTCTCCTTTTGATAAAAAACCCGCATGGATCAAGCGCCATAAATTCACATACAAATATTATCTATCGCTAAAATGACAGGAGATGACACAAAGCAAACAAAACATGACACAGAGGCAAATCAGCAGTCGTCGATGTTATTCTGAATACTAAGAAGGTTCCTTTTTTTTTTTTTTTTTTTTTGCATAGCATCATTCCAAGAACAATGGAGGGACTGAGGAGGGATTATGGGCTGATTTGTCCCATTTTTATTACCTTGGGATAAGCAACAGCTGGAGAGCAGCTCCACAGCTCAGTATTTAGAGCAGACTATTCCATCAGATTGTATCAACTGCTCTGAAATAAGATTGAGTGAATCAACTAAGAAATGATGGCTTTATGTCTTTGGGCTTCTCTGTAGTTTGGACATAGCCAGTAAAATGAAAGCTGACGGCGTGGCCGTTATTTCAAATCTCTGTCATTGTGGCTCTCTGATCACCAGCAGTGATTCTCCCCCCCCCTCAAAACTACAAAAAACATGTAGCTGGCATTGGTTTTTGAAGAGCTGGTTAAAAGGGCAAAGTTTACAGTCTTTACTCTAGAATTAAAACACATTCAATCTGATTTTTTCTCCTGAACGCGGCAAATTAAATGACAGCAAAGTTTTTCTCTAACATGTTACATTTTTTAGGATGAGCTTCAAAGTGGGTTCATCTTTTCAGTAAATGTAACTAATATGTGAGCTATATGGTGTTATGGTCCACATAACCCCAGAAAATCTGAGATTCTTTTTTAATATACAAGTATGGTTCATTCCATAAATGCCTGAATACTGTGGGCAGATAAGGTTAAAACTGAGGTTTACTACCAGAATAAGTATGCTTGGTGTTTGAAAAGGCAGCAATTGATTTAACAAAGAAAAGGCTGTGTGTCAGCACACGTAGACGGGAAAAACGGAAGAATTCCTCCATGAACTACTTCTGCTTTCATAAAACACAAGCTGAAGCTTTTGTCCTTTAACATGATCGCAAAATCTGTGGAGCAGATCTTAACATGAAACATCTCAGAACCTGAAATGAAAAAGAAAGGATTTCTAAAATCAAAAGACAGAAAACTTGTGACAAAACTGAGAAACTGAGATTATCTCAGTTTCTCACTTATTAAAAAATAACTAGTTTTAATAAGTGAGCAAATAAAAGCAAACTATGCCACAAATCGACGGTTAAGAGATTACATTACTTTGGTACTAAATCAGCACCTCTGTGGCCTGATTTCAACAGGAACTGTATAATTTGAATTTACCTAAGCTGACATCTTTGGCAAGTTTCCCAACCAAACTGCTTGTGTCCAAGGACAGGGCACACAAAAAACACACAACCAACAAATGTCTAACAAGTATGGATGAGTAAGGTTGTGGTGTGGGAGTCTTTAGGTTTGTTCAACACAACCGGCATGGAGCCGTTTCACAGAACAAGACACACCCTGCTGTGCAAACAGCAGCTCCTCATGCTGTTTCTGTATTTCAGGATGATTACACCTTCAAACCAAAAAGAGTTTCATGAAAAGTACCTGGAACATTTCAGGATGGATTAAAGCACCTCTGAAAGCACAGGTGGCCCTTCCTCACTGCCTGCTTGATGAAGTGCGATGAGTTCCCTTTGTTTTTCTACAGCACTTCATGTCCGCAGGATGGATAAAAAAAATAATAATTAAAAAAAAAAGACTAAAACAACAATGAAAAAAAAAGAGAAAAAAAACCACACACACGGGAAGTTGTGCACACAAGTGGTATGTACACAAATGAACACCAAACACAAACACACTTTACGTACACTGCACGCCACTTCTGCTCGAATCTGTTAAAAGTGGAAGAGGTAAGAAGCCCCAGACTATAACAACAGTGCTCTTTTGCACAATTTATAATTTTTTTTCCTGTCTTTATTGTACAACTTTGCAGTTTAATAATGACGAATGACAAGTGACGTTCCCCACACTACTCCCTGGCTCGATTCACAAATGGACGTCAGGGTTACAATGGACTGTATGCCCGTGTCTGACATCCCAGGAAGACAACTTTGGTATGCACTGAGTTAAATGTAACCCTTTTGGTCTTACCAACGGAAAAACATTTTCAAGCTGGAAATCAAGCCTCTTTTCCAAGACCCACTTCTTTGCAATGACTATTCATTTGTTTTTTATTAGGCGACGGCCAAAGTGTTTTGAATATATTCAAAGAAGATTAATGATTCACACTTCCAGTGTGACCCTTGTTGATCCCTTGTTGTTTTAATAAAATAAATAAATAAAAGAAAATAGTCTACGCTGCACTGTTCTTGGATGTCTGGAATATGACTAAATCCTATCTTACTGCTGTACTTTTTGTCATTGAAAGAAATAAAAATATATGACTGGCACAAAATAAATAGTATCCCATAAACCTAAAGCCTTGAATCTAAAATTTTTTAAAGCAAAAAAAATAAAAAATATAAAAACAAATAGACTAGTAAAATATTAATCTGCTTAGGCCTGTTCATTTGAATGCTGCAGTGCATTAAATGTCTAGAACACGACTAAATTAGACCAAGAACACCACAGTTGAAATTTGTGGGCGTGGGTCTGGAACAGATGACTAAACACCGAAATCAGGTCATGTCAACTAGCGATGTACTTTGGAAAAAAACCAAGACAAGTACTGTTAACCAAGTATTTAGAACAACGTGAATTTAAAAAATAAAGCACAGTCGAATCGTGCCTTCACCAGATGGAAAAACCATTCATGGACACTTCATCTGAAAGTAGATATCAGCAGCCAGAGATAAGACATCCGAAGCAACATTAGTAGCCTACAAATGATCACTAAACGCTCCACGATGTGAAACCATAGAAAATCAAAAAACTGACCTGTCTTTCAGGTCTTAAATGTTACGGCAAAGCAGAAGCGCCTTAAACCTGCTTTATTAACAACCACTAGGGGGCGATACACATGGTTACAAAAAGACATCCAGTTCTATGTCTGACTGTAAACCTGCTCTTACAGACTTTATAGACTCAGTCTCTCATTTCAAGTCATACAGATTTTGTTTTTCTTACAAAAAGTTCATATTATATTAAGATTTATCAAAGCCTTCATTGCACAGGCATTATTGCATGCAACTACCTGACAAGTACCAGTTGCGAGAAAAAGTAGCACTCACGAAGGCCAACAGACTGGTCAGTGACCCTCTGGTAACCTGGATACTAGGGACCAATGGGCACAATTAGTGGTCAGTGGTTGCTGGCAGTGGTAATATTAAGTTGGTTCACAAAGAGGTATACGAAACCACACCACAAACCTCTACACAATTGCTTTGGTAGCAGGTTGCACCAGTTGCCTGTGTGGAAGATGCAGATTTTCTTGCCAGCCAGTTGCAAAGGTCGCGCCAAGTGGAAACGTGAAGAGTACAATGCAAATCAGAAATGGAAGCTGTACGCTATTAAAGTAAAAGTTGCGCCTTTGGAAATGTTTTAGCAGTAAGGTACAGCTTTTACCTTGAAGGTGAATTTTCTGTGAAACTTATAAGCAAGTGTTTGCAGACAAGTCTGCATCTTCCATACAAACTACCTGCAATCACAGCACTGGTTACCATCTCTTTGGTTTACAGGACGTTAGCCAACAAGGAAGCAGTTTTACACTCAGGCCTGCCCGCTACATCCATCTTGCATACAGTGTGTGTATGGAACTGAGAGGGAAATAAAAAGCAATACACAATCACCCTATATTAACCTGTGTTAAGTGGAGAATTACACTTATTTTAGGAAAGGTCCAAAAAACCATTTGTTGCTATTGGTTTTTTCACACACCCCCCACCACCCTATTCATGAGTTCAATTCTGAAACAACAACAATTGAAAAAAAAAAAAAAAAAAAAAACTAGTATAAAGTATTTTAAGTGAAGAAAAAAAATACTTCCAGTGTAACTGAACTACTAGAAGAAAAAAAGGAATTATACTTATTCTACTTATATTTATTATGTCAGGTTTAAGTTGGATAGCTATCTGTGAAATGTAGTTTCAGTAACACTATCGTTTTCAGTCCCCCCACTCTCACTCCCACTGCAATTCAAATGAGATCCAGCCAGAGACAGTTGGGAATCCTACCGTGCTTCCCACACCCAACTGACCAGCCAGTGGAGTGCTCCACGAGAGCCAGCCAAACTGCCAGCATGTCCCTGAGCAACCAGGGGAGCCATTGTTGTTCAGGGTCAGGTTACAACTTCACCACGTGGCCCCACCCTGCTCTCTTGGCAGTTCACTGCTGTTTTGAACAAAGTTGTCTCCTAATGAAGGG